CCCCCCGTGACCTGTGTTGCGTGCTGGCCCACATGCTGTAGCTTCCCACGTGGGTAGATGTGTTTTCACCTGCTCTCCAAGCACAAAAGAAGGCTCTCTGACTCATGACTATTCCTGAACAACTTTGGACCCCTCCTTCACTCCCACACCACTCTCTCACCATCCCATTTCAGAACAAGACTGGATGTAAACTCTGTACTGGGGTGGCTGCTCTGGCCCAGGGGTGGACAGAGATTCCCTGATCCAGGCCCAGGCAGATCGATGCAGCGGATGCGACTTGCACCAGTGGCACTCCGTAGGAGCTTCTTCACAGCACCTACATTTGGTTTCCTCTCCAGCAGGACAGTTTTGCTTAAAACCCAAACCACTTCCTAATGAAACATCTGTGCAAAAGGGTGATGTCTGACTCACGGGAAAGTGCAGAGGCATGAGAGGGGTCACTGCACTGGTCTGGATGCTCTGTGACAGGAAAGCAGCTACAGGCATGGGAACGGGTCTGTGCTGCACATCTCCATCCTTCAAGGACGTGAAGGTGAAACACAGCCTCAACTTGCCAGGAAGCCCCGAGACACTCGCCTCAGATGTGCAAAGATGTGTGTCTAACTGCTTGTGAAGACCCCAAAGCTCACACAGAGGGGATTTATATCAGCAGAAGGAATTTCCGGGCTCACCTAACAAAGACTACAGCTCGGGAGGCCGGGAGACCACAAGCACGGGTTCACACTGGTGCAACACTAAAACACCTTCAGAAAATATTTAACTCAACTATTAACACATTGTCATTATTCTGATGGGAATGCACCGTGATGCATTCTTCAAATATGTCATCATGTTCTCACACGTGCAAATGCTGATACACCTGAAGAGGATGAGGCCACGCAACTGGGCAGCGCTACTTTGCTTTGCCCGAGGAGGAACTGAAGCTGCTTGTTCATCCTCAGGCTCCCTCTCTCTAGACTGGTGAGCGCTCGCTCATGCTGTAAACACTGCAGCAGAGCTGGAGGCTTCTTGGTAGGGTTAATGCAAGAGAGATTTTGGATTTTCTTAAAAATACAAACAGACAGAGAACTGCTCAGATGAACAACACCTCCAGAAAAGGGAGAGGGAAACAAGGCAAGAGAGGAACAATTATGAGCCCTGTGAATCATCTGCAGCAGAAGACAACATGCTTCTGCAAGTGGCAGGGCACCGACTGCGTTCAGGCACAGACACTATCCAGAATCCTTTCACCCTGGATAACCAATTTCGGAGGGAGGAGGAGGAGGTGGTTAATTCTTAGGCAGATTTTCTTACACAAACTACTAGTTTTAAATACAGGCCTGCGTTTGGAGCGCTGTAAGAAAACATGCCATGATTAGCAGGGGAGAGGCAGGGAGCAGATAATTAAAGTTTAATTAAACAAATAGTGCTACAGATTCAAGAGTGTGGTTTTACGGCTAAAACACGGAGTTTGGCCACAAGCATCAATCTGATTTGCACAACTACTCAACACCCACTGTTTCCAACAAATGACAGTCTCTGAAAAGCAGGTCCCCACTGTGCTGGAACTGCAGCTTTCTAGCAAAAAGCTACATAAATGCCACCAGATGCAAGAGGAAAAACAATTTAAGAAGTGAGATCCCCTCCTCATCTTTCTGACTTCTTCCTGAAGGCACAATGAATGAAGAATTCCCACTGCTACTCACTGCCTTCAATCTGGCAAACTGTGAACTGTTCAGGATCTGCTGTCTGTCACACTGCTGAAGCCAGAAGAGACTCTGCTGGGGTAGTTCATCCCTGCGAGAAGATGCACCTCCTTGCTTGAGAAACAGTCAATATCTAAGTATTTCAGGCTCATACTCTTAAAACATACCCTGTGAAATGCAAATAGTCCTGCTTGTACTTAAATTTCATGGTGGAGGAGGATGAATAGGCTTTTAGTTGTGGGATAAAAATGGATTTCTAGATGGAATTTGGAACTGCACTTCGGTACTCCCTGCCCTGTACGCCCCCTGCTTGGACGAAGAACAGACCAAGACCAAGTTGCTGTAGGAAGTTCACACACCAACAAGATCATCATCCTCACGTGAAGGCACACATTCTGCCCACTTGTCTTTACTTCTACAGAAAAGGCTGGAGCGTGCTGGGCATCCAGATGGCATGACCCGAGAGATCATTCAATAGACTTTGAGGCAGACTAAGAATTGATCTTGTAGACAACCTAATGTAGGTTCCTCCTTGGAGTTACCCATTATGGAAGCCTTCTCTCTTCACTAACAATATATAGTGTGTACAATATTCATCACGTAACCAAGGCACTTAATTTTTAAGCCCATGACTGCGCTTCAAGAACAGGCTGAATGCTGCAGGGTCCGCCTGCTGCTAGAGGAGGAGCGGACAGGCTTTGCTAATGGTTACCTACGTGCAGCGGTTGATGTATTGGAGAAGAACGTCAAGGAGACCAGCAAGAACCTGTATCTAGAGCTGAGAAAAAACTGGGCCTCAGAGAACAATTTCTGAATCGTCAATATCTTGGAATAGATGAGATAGTCCCACAGGTCACCTTGCTCTTCATATCAGCTATGTGACAAATCTGTGATTTTAATCAATGTAGATACTTAAGGCCACTACAAACCGTCCGGCACAGGGCACAGGTTCAGATCAGACGTGTCAGATACGGGATCAGGAATCCTGAAGAGCACAGGGCACAGTGATGGACTAAAATCACACCACAGTGCACAGGAGGCTGTACACTCTTAAATCTGGGATCAACAACGCACGCTGAGCAAACTCAGCAAGGACCAGGGAAACGGTGACGCCGAAGGGCCAGTAACAGATCACAAAGCCACTGAACTATGAGCCCAGCCAAGAGTCTCCAGGAATTTTTCAGGGATGTATTACAAAAAGTTGAGATTAACGCCTGAGCAGATTTCACCGTCAATTAATTAAAAGGCTTTAGCAAAGTTAAATCTCCAGTGTGCATTATGGAGTGTCTGCACTTCGAAACAAAAGGGAAGATGGAAGGGTATTTATTGAAGACTCCTGCTCAGGCTCAGGTAGTCCTCCAGCTACCTGGACCCACTGGAAATCTCCCACCTGCACATGCAAGGGACACCTATGGACCACCCACCAAAGAGAACATTTCTGCAAGTGCTTTTGAGAACGTGGCACAGCACGTCTGCGCCAGCGTCACCGACGGACACCGCAGGCCGGTATGATCTGATTGGGTTCAGCTGGTGAAGCTCACACTACCGAGACTCTCCTTGCTCTTTAGGGAGGACTGTGAGGAACAAGACGGGATCCTGGGAAAGGGCAGCAGGTTCCTGGCTATACAGCTGCACATCAGCATCCGTACCATACACTGCAGCAAACCTTCATGGAAAAATTCGGGGCTGGGGGAGACTGACTGAAGCAACTGGGCAAGTTTTATGACCACTAATACCATGCATAGCAATGGAAGCTAAAATACGGGTAATTAAATCTCAGATTATACGTTACTAGATGATGACTACCAGTGCAGAAGGAATTCTCCCTGCATTCCACATTCCTTACACAACTGCTTGGGGACCCTGCCTTGGTGTAGAGCAGTTTCTTCCCTTCTCTCTGAAACGCCAAGCCCTGACCCATCCCAGAGACACAGCAAAGCAGACTTCCTGCACCCACGGCTCGCTCTGGCACGGCAAATCTAACCCTGCTGTATCCGTTACAAGTAGCTACAAACAGCCAGCTTTGGGAAGAGACGCTGTGCTCACCTTCCAAAGGGTGACGGTCATTCTTTGGTAACTTGGGGGAGAGAGGAGCACTGTATGGAGGGGAATCTTGGGAATATCGCTTTGTACCCCGGCCTGGTCCCTGCAGAGTGCCGTCTAACGAACTGCTTCTGTCTAGGAAAAGAGAACAAGCCCTATTTAGGAGCAGAGACTTTCGGGGAAATTCAGTCCTGCCAGAGTCACTGGAGACTTGCATGCATCGCCAGCCTGGGAACAGCCTGTTCAAGCTGCAATCCAGCACATCTGCCAGTGCTTAACACTTTGTATTTTGCTTAGCAAGTTTTATCAGAGATAAAGGGTGGTGAGAAACCTAACGAAGAATCTTAGCCATGTTCTGCCACATTTCACCCCAAATATCACCTCTGATTGACTTAATTTCCATTTCTCCTCGTTCTACCCCTTGGCTCATCCTGCGCAATTCCTGCTCCTCCCCACACTTCACATTTCAGATGCTCGTAACCTTTGGATGATTTGCAAACAACTCTTGGATGATTTGCAAACACTGTGCCATACACAGTGCTTGATTAAACCGTACTCAAATTTTCCATCTTTCCCCAAGTGGATCCCTCAAGTGCCCCAGCTGTCGCTCTGCTCTTCTCCAAACGCTTCCCAACGATGGGGTTCTCCGTTCTGCACGCGGCAGAGCAGACGTCAGGCTGGGCTGGGAGACGTCTCTCTGCAGACGGTTAGAGGATGCACACAAAGTGTCAGTGGGTGGATGAACACGGAATGGAAGCGCTTACACGGATGGGAACAGCAGCCAGGCAAGCGATACGGTGGGTGGCAGACCGTGCCCCATCTGGGCAAGGCACGGTCAATCAAAAAGCAATGAAGAGGTGACCCACCAGCCACCGCCTGCCCACATGGGCCACCAGCGCTCCGTCCAGCTGGCCGGACCCTTCCCATGGTGGGCGACACGTGTGAGCCTGCAGCGTTCACGGTGTGCGGGCAGACGGGGTGAAATGCTCACAGACAAATGCCGGGAGCTGGACAACGGCACGGAGCGGCCCAGCTGCCGGCGCAGGGCAGGGACGGGTGCTGGAGGGGGGACAGAGACACGGCGGGGAGCAACTGGGACCAGACACTGAGGGAGATGTATCACGGCCAACAAAGAAACAAAGGTACAGGTGGGTGGGAAGCGTCAGACGGTCACAGTTTAGTTGACTAAAGAGAAATACAAAGGTAGAGAAAGTATCTGTTCTATCAAAGCGCCTGGGGGAAAGGAAAGATAAGCTGCTTGTGCTGAGGCCCAGGGACTCCGTACGAGTATGATCAAAAATCACTGTAACATTATTGGGAAGACAAATGCTGTCCTCAGGACAAGTCCCAGTAAGAAACATTCACTGCCCAGACAGAGATGGGGATGCTCTTAGTAATGTCTCTGGGTTTCTCTAACTGTAAAACTGCACGACCACCTTCACCAAAGTCACAGAACCACAACAAAAGGTGAAGTTTTTAAAGGTTTTACCAGGTTTTGTCTTTGGTTGTTTTTTAAATTGGTTGATTTTAGAAGGAATGCAAACGCTGAAAGGCAGGTTGTAGAAGGTCAGTGTAGATTAATGGAAGGATAAACCAAAAGTAGGTCTGTAGTTAGGCCTCTGTTTTTAAAGGATAAATCTTAAGAAAATGAAGAAATGGATGAATACATAGAGCTGCACTCAACAGTCAGGACATGGATCGTCAGGAAAAACAGAAAATACTTTCAATTCAAAAGATGCCATGAACGTGCAGCACCAGTGAGGAAACAATCTGAGAGGAAAGGCCCCAGATTCAAGCGGATAAATGGTCACTTCGACAAGGATGCTGAGAACAAGCAGATCATTCACTGGAGATAAAAAGGACCTGCTCAGCATGGAGTTGTGTACTTCAGAGGACGGCGAGGACGGGGACGAAGTGAACTTTTTAACTCATTCTGTCTTTTGTCACACTGCAAAAGAAAAGACAGGACTGCATGTTCAGCTACAGATGTAACAAGTGCGTGGGAAGAGAGCGAGAGGTACTGTGGAGAAAGGTAGAGATGGAGAAAAAAAGAAAAAAAAGCTTGTCCTTGTATGTGAATGATGGGACAGCTTTGAGGGCTATTTCACCTCACCTAACCTGGGAGGTTGGTGGGGAAGAAGATGAGCACGTCTGCCCACAGCTGGGTTTGTGCTGTTGGCCATCCCAGTCAGGACGGGCACCTTCACAGTCCGTGGGAGCCTGCTCACCTCACCTCGCCAAGTCAAAGCCAAGTCAGGGGGCTGCAACTGCACTGACTGCGCTGGTGCCCCCTCCCCGACTGCAGCGGGGACCACGCACCAGCTCAGGTGTCGGCGCCTCGGTGACATCCGCCTGCGGTCAGTCCAACCGATCCCGCCCCTCGCTTCCAGTCGCAGCCGCGCACCGAGGCAAGGCTCAAAGGGGGAAAGAAACGGGACAGGAATGAAAGTAAGAAGTTAACTAAGAGGTGGAAGTCAAATAACGACCATACTCAAACCGGGGACGTGAGGGTGCCGAGGAGGCCAAAACGTAGCTCAAGAAAGAAGGCGCTCGTGAAACCCTGGGTCTGCTGCAGCAAGTTCTAACAAAACTCAGCGATGCGCTGCTCAGAGTGACTGAAAACGCAGTGCTCACTTTCAAAAAAGAAGGGCAAAAACCATTTTGGCAATGAAATGACCAAAAAAGTCTGACCTCAGCAGTACCACAAGGCTTGCAAAAGGTTCGGAAGGAAACGGAAGGTAAAATACTGCAGTTACACATGGCACATCCTGCGACACGCGTTCGTCAGAGGAGAATGACCCAACAGTGTCCTTATCGTGGGAAAACAACTGACCTGTCCGAGCAAGTAAGAGTGGTCAACCTGATTTACCTGGAATTCAGCAAGGTATTTGATATGGAGAATGTGAGGTTTACCAGAAGCTTTGTTCTATGCACAAACATCTGACTTGAGGAAAAAAGCAGCTGGCAGAGCACTGAGCAAGGGCACGAGGCTGGAGAGCAACTGCCAACTAATTTTCTTGAGGATCATCCTTGAGCGCAGTGTCATTTAATATTTTTATTAATAACTTTGGCACAAATTTTAGAGATTCACTGATGAAATCTGCTGATGCCTTCCCACGTTAGACCAGATAAAGTAGCATTCGAAATTATGCAGAAAAAATATATTTAGAACGGAGTACCAGGAAGGAGGTAAATCCAGCAGCAAAACGCAGATGTGCACTTGAAGCATTGTCCCATGAGCTGGGAACTTGCACTTGACAATAGCAGATGAGAAGAACGGGATACACGACCAGGACGCGTTGATCATCACCTCCTACACAATAGAGTGACGAAAGGCAGCTTCCAGAGACGTTTCTTGTGAACATGGTGGTGCCAGTGCTGTGGCACCAGGTCCCCATGAGCTCTTGCCCAGAGTGCTGGGTGGCACTCGGGTCACCTCATGAAGTTTAACTCAAATCAACGCTAGATGAGAAGAGCACAGAGCTCCCCTGAAGGACATGACTGCTCTCCAACCACTTCCAGAAAGAGGAGAACTAAGTTCAGCTAAAAGACAACGTTAAGACAAGGAGACACGGATATCAAGTTGTCCAAGAACAAATCTGGGCTAGAAACTACGACACAGTTTCTAAAAATTCAGCAAAAAACCTTGGAGCAGCCTCCAGTGGAAAAGCAAAATCCCCAACTGATTTAACACAGAACTCCAGACTTAATTAACGCAACACCATATGCTGCAGTGCCTGCAATACCAGGACCCAACGCTCAATGGTCCATAAGGTCCCTCCAGTCCTATGTCTTCAGATGGCTCCAGATCAGATCTACCTGTTCACAACGTTTCACAGCCCATCCCTGTTCCTATTAAGAGCAATTAACTCCCTGCTTTCTTGCAAACCCACTGTTTCCTGATGTACAACTTGATTTATTTCCCCTTATTTTCCCAGTTATGCCTCAGCAAGACAGAATGTCACGACGCAGCTCCACGGCAGCAAAATCTGGCCAAAGGGCTGATAAAGACCTTCCTTCTTCTGCCTCAAGCACATGCACGAATTCTCCATGGTATCCACAGCAGTGCTCCCATTAAGCAAGTCTGCTCTGGGAATTGAGACCAGCTCCCAGTCCTAACCAGTGACTGTTTTCTGGAAGAACCAGCCCCATTCAAGCACATGAGCACCAGTACCATAGAGGAAAGAAGGCAGGACACGCTTGGTATGATTTAAGCTGATGTACAACTGCATCCTCACTCTTCCATGACCAGCCCTAACCTCTCAAAATTGCTGGTACTGTTTCTTTGTCCTCACCAGAAGCCTCTGGAATGTGCACATAAAAATGTTTATTATCTTCTTTCAGGTGCTTGAGAAAGGTGTTAGATGATGAGATGCCCAACAATCCCAGAGACACCAGTATGAACTACAGGACTAGGTGTCATCACTTCTCTGGACTGTGGTTAATCTTTGTTTAATTCCTGCAAACATTCTAACCAAGAGTTCAGGATGGGCAGGTCTCAGCATCGTGTCTTATCTGGTGCTCTGCCTGAGTTTCCCTGAACTCTGATTTTGCTCTTCACACTTTTCTGCACTGCCAGGCAGCCCAGCTCTTAGCACAGACACCACTGACACCTCATGGTGGTTAGAAATCATGTATGTGAGCTACAGGACCTTCTCCATCCAAGCCTGCTACCACGGCTAGACCCTGAGTTCTCTTCCTCCCATTCTGGTTTTGCTCTCTCATGACCACAGAGTACTTTCAAACAGAAACATGGGGATTTCTTCTAACTGGGGGTTCCCTAGAGGGGCAACCTCTAGTCCCAGTAACTAGACATGCTGTTCCTGTACATACCACAGCAGCCAAACCACTTCCTACAGCTCCTCTTCTTACAGCACAGCACGGCTCCCTGCTCCTGGCACTGCTGGCTCCAGCATGGCTCTGCACAGCCCCAGCCTGCAGGCAGCTGCTGAGCCCTGGGGAAGCACAGGGCAGGCACTCCGAGATCCTCATGCTCTTTATGCTGTTGCTAATCCCCCCAGCACGGGTGCTTTGCGAGATGCAACGAAGCACTGTGCATTCGGCTGTTGCCCCTAAGCTTCGCTCTTAGCAACTTTTTCTTCAACACTTTTTCCTAAGTGCTTATCCTTTTTACATTAGAAATTCTTGCTCTTCTCATCAGAGCCATAATTATCCAAAGGATTAACTTTGGAAAGACCTCGACCAGCTATTTGCTGACTCTGGAGGCAGAAAGGTAGTGGAGGAAGCAAATAGAAGAGCAGATCAGCACAAGACACTTGTCAGTTACCAAAAGGGGGTGCAGACAGCTTTCATCCTCTCCACGACTCACACTCCTACAGCAGTGGTTCCCCCAGAGCCCCACAGCCAGCCCGGGGCAGGGGGCAGCGACCACCCTCTACACAGTGCTGCAGGGATTGTTTTCCCCCGCTTTGGCTGAAGAGCAATTTTGCAGCCTGACAATTTGCATCGTGGCATGAACTATCTTGCCAGGGGTGTTGCTTCAACGCAGTGGAATGTTCACCATGCCAAGGAAAACAAAACCACCTATACTTCAGATGGGTGCAGCGTGCATCATCTCTGAACGGGCTAAGCTTTCACTGAGGGCTGGATCCGCTGGCCTCTGGCAGCAGATGCGCAGCCACTGTGGAAACCACTCCGCTACGTTTTCATTCCATCTCTAATTACAGTTTACCTGCTACACGTTATCACTCTTCTATTTCTCATGCAGAGTCTTTCACCTTAATTCCTAACTGCATGAAGTCACTACAATCAGATTACAGGAAGCGGGAAAGACCGGGGGACAAGGAGAGGAGGGAAGACAAGGAGACAGCACGGATGAGCGGAAACCTACAGGCAGAGATGGAAATCAAACCGACAGGCAGAAAATGCAGCAACTTGAACCCTGTGCAAAAAGAGCCCTGCGGGCATGTGCATGACACCGGGTGTGATGCAATGAACCCTGCAGAGAGGGCTCTGAGACACAGCCTGCCTCCGGAGAGAAAGATAAAATCTGGTAAAATCTGGGTTAAGGCACGGAGCACCTGGGGTCCCTACAGCGCCGCCCCCGCCCCAGCTCCTACCTGGTAGATACCTGTCGTGGTCGTACTCGTGTGACCGCTGCATGTGGCTGTTCTGAGTGAAAGGCTGGTTCCCAAAGAGGTTGTCACTGCGAAGATTGTGGCAGAGCTTCTCCAGGAAGCGGAGGACGTAGGTGATACTGTTTACTGCTGGCAGGTTCAGAGTGTGCTGTTCCCGATCAAACACAGCTGGAGACAGAAACAAACAGAGCCCAACACGTAAACCCCCAGCAAAGGCAGGAGACTACGCCCAGGGCTGCACAGCCAGCTTCTGTATCTCAGCATCGCTGGTCTAGACCAGAGCAAACAAAAGCCACTGCCTTCCGCTGGCTGCGCGCTGGCGAGCTCGCCTCCCCGGGACAGGCTACAACCAGTCTGCTGCACCAGCGGCAGGCACGGGGCTGCGGCGCCGGAGAAGCCGCGTTCGAGGGAATGGGAAGGCATTCGAGGAGGGGCCTGCGCTCCCGGCACCCGGCTAAACACAGGGGGACCTCATTAGTGTTTATAAATATGGAAAGGGTGACTGTCATGAGGATGGAGCCAGGCTCTTCTCACTGGCATCCAATGATAGGACAAGGGGAAATGGATATAAGCTGGAACACAGGAGGTTCCGCTTAAACATGAGGAAGAACTTCTTCCCAGTAAGGGTACCAGAACACTGGAACAGGCTGCCCAGAGAGGTTGTGGAGGCTCCTTCTCTGGAGATGTTCCAAACCCGCCTGGACGTGTTCTTGTGTGATCTGATGTAGGTGGTCCTGCTCCGGCAGGGGGATTGGACTAGATGATCCTTTGGGGTCCCTTCCGATCCCTGACATTCTGTGATTAAAAGCAAAACTGAAAACCAGGGTATTTCTCGTCTTCCCGTCAGGAGTTCTGAAAATCCCACCCGTTCCGCCTCCTGCCGGGGGCTCGGGCAGTACTGGGGGAGGCCAGGTGAAATGTAACGCTGCCCAGGATGACACCGGGGCTGCACGTTGCCTTCTCCAGCAGCTGTGCCTGGTGGCCACGCGAACTGCTCTGCTCTGAGTCAGCTGCTGGCTGGTGCTTCCCCCACCCTGGCAGGAAGAGAAGACAGAAATCTTCTGTCTGCCCCTGGCCCACGACTGCACCGAGCTTCAGGAGAGACATCTTCCAACGAGCGAATCCTTGCAATGACATCTCTGAAGGCAAAGTGCTGCAGGCCAGTTCTCACCTGAGATGACCTCTCCCCCGTGGCCTTGTTTTAAGAAGGAGAAGACTGTTTTCTGATGATAAGCGCAATCAATGCAGGCCTGTACTGCTTGCTGCAGGACAACAGAAGCTCGAGCTGGTCCAAAATGGTCCGGCAGCTGCTGAACTTTCTTCTTGTCTAGGTGGGGCCCAGTGCTGCCGTTCTTGTTCAAGTAAATGCAAACTGCCAAGATGAGAAACGTGTTTGCCATTAACCCACTCAAGAAAGCAAGAAACAGATGCCTAAAATCCAAGCTGAGATGCTGAGATTTTAAGACTCTCAAATCACTCACAAAGGGGAATCCACCACAACTGCCTGTCTGCATCCTAACAGCAGAGCCGCTCATAAGAGGGGAACCACTTCCAAAACCTTCCTGCCTCACACTCACCTCCCAAGCTGCTGCTGTTTCTCCTACACTTTTCCCAGCACTCAGCTTCCCAAAGGCAAGTGGTTTCCATGCCAGCCAGGTAAGGTGTCTGCGATGTTCAAAGGAGATGAAGAAATGCAGCCCCTACTTTTTAAGAAAACTGGGTCTTTAGGTTCCTCTGAAAATTGGCCAGTTACATTCTCAGGAAACAGAGAGTTCAGCCCATAACCCAGAGTTCGACCGAACATATAAAAAATAGCTTTGCATTAGACTTTCCTGCCCAGATTCATCTTCAGCTACATCTCACAGCTGTAGCAGAGCACATACTCTGCAGTGCTGCTTCTACTCTTCCTCCCTGCTCCCTCTCTTGGCCCTGTTTGCCTCGATATCCTGGCTGAAGCTGAAGAGATCACTGCCACTGCTGTTCAGCAGTTGTTCTGCATCTTGCTGTAGCTTCAGCAGCTGTGCCTGGCACGGTTGGGCAGAGCTCACGCTCTGAACTCACGAGGGGTGCTGCACGCCGTACTGCCCCGGGCATGATGGGCCCAGAAGTGCCCTTCGAGAGCTGCAGAGTCACTAGCATGCACGTGGGAACTCAGGGAAAGGGGTCCAGATGGACTTGCAATCTTCCTACGACTTCACTATTTCCAAAACGGACAGAGAGACAAACAAACAGCTGATCTGAACTCGCGTGCCTCTCTCGTCCTCCCGACACACTATTAGGCCAGCCCTTCTGGAACTGTAACGCTTGCTGGTGTACAGGTTTAGGGAGAAACGGGAGCGTGTGTCGCTTGCTGACTGATGCTGCTCCTGACTGTGCAATCTTGTCGAGAATGCGGTTCGAGACCCTTACCTGTGGGAGCCTGCATGGCAGAGCTGGGGATTGTAGCAGCGTCCTGAGGCACAGTGCTTGTGTCTGGTTCTGGGGTACTGGTTGTTGGAGAGGTGGGTGCTGGGTTCAGCAATGTCCTAGGTTTCCTCTGCAGAAAAAGAGGAGATATTTCTCCCTTTATCCCCTGCTCTCCTTTACCACCACGATCACTACACTCTCTCCTTTGCATCCAACAGACAAGGCACTGTGGAACATGACACACTTCTGATGGTGATGATGGGGAGTCTCAAGAACCTAGTAATCAATATGTGTGTATTTTATAAACCACAATCCTGAAAAAATAACAAGCCTGAGATCTGCTACCTCTACTTGACTTAGACTAGCTACGCACGATGGATGGAAGAGCCTATTCCATCGTTTGGCCACCCTGTCAGGATCACAGCATCTGCCATGCTACTTCACAGCTAATGCAGCTCCAAAGACACAGTTTCTTGATGGAAATGATCTTTAGGACACAGACATTCTCTACAGCTCTGGGGCTGGACTCAGAGGGATATTCCCAGCCCACATACCCCTTTGGTCTCCTACTTGCTGCAGTCACACAGCCAGAGGCTGAGACAAACGTGCACAAACACACGCATGCACCATCCCATGGCAGAACTTGCAGCACCTGCCTTTCACCCGCCTGCATCAGCATCAGCTTTTACCTTACTGCCAGGCTTGGGGCCTCTCTTTCTGGGGAATTTCAAAGGCTCCACTGACTTGGAGGGTGTAGGCATGGGGTGATGGATTAGCGCTTTGGTCGTTCGACCACGCTTCTTCCCTGTTTTGCGACGCCTTTGCCCTTGTTGATGCCCCAAAACAGTCTTTGTGCTACTGTGCATGCTAGGTTTCTCCGAGTTTACTTCGGAGGCAGGTAAAGGGCTCTTTGGAATCACAACTGAAATAAAAAGAGAAAAAGCAAATATAATTAAATCAGGCGAGAATGAAAACAAGAGCAGCCTCCATCTTTATACAGTGTCACATGGAAAAACCTGGAGTATTCGCAGCCCCCTGAACGGAGGCTACTGCTCCCCATGCCAGAATAAAAACCAAACACACTGATCTTTGGTTCAGCACTCAAGCTGTGGGACACTGTGGCTTAGCCTGGATGGGCTGAACTCCAGAAGGATCATGCTTTCAGCTGTACCTTCCTTCCTGAAAATAGCTGGCACCTACACCTCTTCCTTCTGCGAGTGGTGACCTGCCAGCAGCGATCATGTACAATGCACTGAAAACATTCCTAGGGCAAGGATCAGTCAAGACCTGCCTGACAGTCACAGGGCCAGTGCTGTGCTGGAAATCCCCTCTCTCAAGGCAGCAGTCAAATGTGCTCTGTGCCTGAATTACCAATGAACTGCAGTGGAAGGTACCAGCTCCATCCTTGACGCCTGCAAGGACTACTGCTCCTGGCCCCGAGTAATAGCTCATCTCAGCTGGATCATCTGACCTGCTCCTCTCACATACTGCCAGAGGCAAGTGAAGTGCCAGCACACGGTCTGTTCCTTCTTAACTTCTTACACTTTCCATGACAGAATCAAGTTTCTGGTGTATTTGCCCACAAATCCCCTGAATTTGGTCATTCATCTTTCCCACGTCCTGCTAAAGGCTAGAGATGAACTGGCCCAGCTCAGCAGACCAATGTTCCATTTAGATTTAGATTTCTGCTAAAAAGAAACAAACCAAAACCCTTCTAGATTTTGAAAAATGCACAGTGACCTTTAGGATGTCTTGCTTCTCAGAGCTGGAAACCTCACTGTGTATTCAACATAACGACTCTGAATTAGAAAAAAAAAAAATCACTCTTGAAGTGAGGAGTTTTATAGTTAAGAAGAAAATCTTGGCAAAGGAAACAGGCTGCACTAGAAGATCGATACAGGATGGCATACAGCCCTAAGACTGGCACAACTGTGGGTATATAAAGAGATTTTTTCATTTTTTTCTAATGAAGGTTTTATGAGCAGTTACTGTGAGCGAGGACTCATTCCCTTGGCACAAAGACCCTGTTTCCTGCCGACAGCTCAGAAGCAGCAAACCGAGCTGGGTCCACCTTCCTTGGGGTCTGGAGAAGATCAGTGCGCTGCGAGGTGACGGCAGCAAGCCCCGAGTCAGGAGATACCCCAGGCATGGGGCAGTGAGCTGATGGCTTGGTTAACTACTTCGCTGCTAACCAAAGCACAGACCGAGTGAATGGCATGGCTGGTGTGGGGAGATCTGTGTAAGGTCCCATCAGTGGCAGCTTATTATGGTCTTACGTGAACAAGCCACTGCAGGTGGAGGATCCTGCTTTGCTCTTCTGGTCTGACTGCAATCACCAGCTTCGACTCTGGGGTACTCTGTGCTCTCCATGGGAGACTTTGGATAAGCCTGCTGCCATGTCCAGGAAAACCTGAGTGAATGGTTCATTCAGGCAGCTTGAAACCCAGACTGGTACTATCTCACAGCAGGACTAGACGACTTCACGCGGGTGGACACGATGGCCAGGCACACCTCCAGGTCCAAGTTGCCTGCGGGATACCCAGCCTCCAGCCGTGTGGGCATGTCTGTCTTGTTGGCAGTGCCAAAGGCAGCCGTGCAGGGGGCACGAGGGCAGACAGAGCTGACTCCCACTGCCAGCTCAGTGTCATGGCAAGGCTGCCTGGCTGAGGCACGTTTAGGATGCAGAGGTCAGCAGCTACTGCACTGAAGGGCCAGGAACAACAGCAGCACTCCTGCTGTTGGCAGCGACTGCTGCCACTGGCAAATCTTGTGTACGCTTCCACTCGCTGCTGTGAGATGGACTCTGCTGGCCCTGCCCTACTGCACTGAGCTCCTGAGTGTTCCTAAGAGCAACCTGCACAAAAAGTGAAGTGCAGAATGTCCTGCGGTTGTCTTCCGGTAGTTTACGCCCGCCCTAACCTCACTTTGCACCAGTGCAAATAACATGATGCATGGTGCATCCAGGAATCGGCCCCGTTCTGCATGTCACATGGGCAGGGCAAGATTTCTGGTACTCTCAACTTATTTATTTTTTTTTAGTTTTAGTGTTATTTCCTTGCTTTTGTGCATTAGGGTTCTGTATCACATGCTGGGGAGAAGAGCACAGTCATTCAGGGATCTATCTAACTTCCCAAGTAATGTCTTTTTTTTGTGTCAGGCAGATACAAAGAATTGCAGTAAAAACAGGGGTTTACTACTCCTTGTTTGAGATGTTAAATTTAACAGCAAGACTACTTTGCTGGCAAGAAAAGGAATATGACAGCACAAGGGTTTCTTATAGTTGATGGTTGTCCAGGACAGTGACTGTCACCTGCTACAGGTGACATCTGGCAACAGACTGTGCTTGCAGAGAGGAATGGCACAGATGGGACAGGAATGGAATGGAATCGCTGTGCCTCCAGCCTTTGTGCACAGCTGATCTCAGCGGAGAAATATTTGTATTAAAGGATTTACTAGAATTCCATAAGTTGATAGAACAAGGATAAACACAGGTAAAACATTCTGTATTTCAAAAGAAACTCTTAAACATCAGAGGGATGTGTAAAACAACACGGGGGGCATTTCGTTCACAATCTGCACCGCTGTTGAGTGTCTAAACCAAGCAGTGCTGCAACAAGGTTTCTCTAACCTGGGCGAGAAATCGAGGATTCTACAGACAAGCACAATCTCAGTTTTACGAGTGAAAAACCCACAGAAGTGATGCATTTGAGAAGCTGGGATGCAGCAGGCAGAGCTGCTGAATTGCACCCTTGGCTCCCAGGCTGGAACCACATCACAGAGAAATCCCAGAGCCAGGCGAAAGGAAACCAATGCCAGGTGAACTCCTGCCGTGCAAGCTTTCACTGCAGAGTTTTATAATAAAAAATTATTTCATCTGTTGGTACAATAAACGCTAGAAAGATCTACGGTCCACTTCAGCTGTGAAAATATCACAGATAACACGAATTTGCCAGGCTTAAGGACTCAGTTTTGCTTTCAGGGCAATAAACGGCTGTAACTCGGCATGGTCAGACCACGCGGTGGGGCACCTCCATTCCCTCAGCCACGTCACGGGAGTTTTCATGGCACCAGCTGCCCCTGGCAGCGTGTCCCTGCCACAGCCACGGCTCCAGGGACAGAGGGGCTGCCACAGCTCAGAAGGCTGTCAACGAAACAGGGTAAGTTACACCCAAACGTAACATCCTAATGGCACATCCTAACAAATGTCACATCCTAATGGCACATCCTAACAAGTGTCACATCCTAAGGGCACTGCCGAGTCCAACGGTGAATACATTGCTGAATATGCACTAGTATCTTTTTCCTGTGGTTGCTTCAACGAGACTGATATAACGCACAGACACTTGTCTGACCTGGAGTGATTTAAGGAAACGAAGTCTTATCATCCCACGATCCTGCGCCATCCAGCAGGCTCGCCTGGCTTTTGTTTGATTTCAGCCAGAATCTCGGAATAACACCAGCCCGTGCTAAGTCACTTCTCTTGCCCCCAAGCAGCCGTGCTGAGCTGCACGCAGTCAATGTGATGAGAAGACACCGACCACTTCAGAGCAGTTGTCCCACCAGCTGCATCCCTGCAGCACCAGCACAGCCCCAAAAGTTATCGCTGGCCACGCTGCTGTCTCATCCAAGGCTTTTATAACCACTTCCAGTGACCGGATGCTTCCTAAAGGAGCCTAAACCTTTTGCCCAGTGCCTGTTACTTTCCTTTGGGATTTCAGCCCCTGATGTTACAAGGACGTGGCCAGTTAGCACAGGAGTGCTGCGGGAGGAGCAGTGCAGAGCTCAGCCCTGCCTGTGCCCAGACGAGCTCCAGCAGCAGTAAGGACCGTGCCCAGCAGCAGGTTTGTCTTGCAGCTGCAACGCATTGCCCACATGTCCTTTAAGTGCCAAAAGGCTCAATTCACTGCATCTTATTCAGCTGGTGATGGTGCCAGCCCAACAGTGAACATCTGCCAGGAAGAACCTTGCTCTTCCTTGTACCACTGTCTTCACCTCAGGGTGAGCCACCAAGAGGAGCCAAATTTTCAGAAAATCAAGTGGGGACCTCTTACTTAAAAAAATCAACATTTTACTATCGCTGACAAAAGCAGCGTCTCTCTGCCCCACACCTTTGGTACTCACACGAGCTCTGAGCAACTTCACGTAACTCTAAAGCTGACTTTGCTTTAGGCAAGGAGCTGGGACACGTAACCTCCAGAGATCCCTTCTGACTTGAATTATTGTGATCTGAACTTGTGGTTAATCATCTCAGCTCATTAATGGAACAGAAAACTGATCAACAAAAGTTTTCTGCTGGCTGAACTGTCTTGTTTTGGGTCACACAGGCATCCAGCACAAGGGCAGACATGGAGGAATGGGTTGGATCCTTGTTGGCTGGCTGGCATCGGATCGGTTTGGCTGCAGTGAGAAACGTCACTTTAAAGATGCAGGATCAAACATTGCTGAACTCGGAGCCAAAGGAAAGATGGGCACCACTGACTGGGCTATTAATCACTGAAGGATTAGTTTAAACAAGAGTCTCGAGCTCCCTGCAGAAACAAAGAGACTTGACAGAGAATTCAAGACTTCAGGCTCTATTTCCTAATGCCAAAATATCCCTTGCCAGTTGACACACGGCACCAGCAGCACCTGCAGCTGCCCACTGCACTGTGACTCAAACTATTATTTACTGAAGACTCTGTAAAGTTGCCATCCACACTTTTGAGGGTTAGCCAATACTAGAAAGCAGCATTTGTCACTCATCAGCTTCTCTCAGGCTTGTCACAGCTTGGAGAAGACAAAATTATGTCCTTGAGATAAGAATAACAAAGCCAGACATGCAGGAAAATACAGAACAGAAGAGCCTGAGATGAAGAACAGTTTCCTACTTTTCTCCCCGATGCACCAGCTATTTAACAGTCTGCATTTACTAACAGTGCTGGA